TCACAGGGAGGAAACCCGGACCCTGAACAGATGGACTAGAAAAAGCATTCACCTCACACTTCAGTCAGACTGTTTTGAGATCATAGACAGAATTAAAAAAAAAAAGCAGTGTTGTATCTATGTATACATGTATATATTTATATAATATATATACACACACACTCATATATAGCCAGCTTTCCTACAAGTCAGCAGGTACAAATTACTGTCGAAAGCACTCAGATGTGTATTTTATTAATATTCTATCAATGTAAAAACATAATGGCGACGTGGCAACACGCATCAATAAATAGAGATCAAAAAAAGCAAGAGGTTAAAAAAGATGAAATTAAATACAGATTCTAGCTGTGGATTTAAAATCAGAACTACTGTAGAATGTGGCATCCTGCAAGTTAAACTGCAGTTAAAAAAAAAATTACAAAATAAACCAGTAGACTGTTACAGTTCACATTATAAACCCTGGTGTCCTTTTCCTGTACGCACCTTGGGAAAGGGAAGCCTGACCAAATCAAGAGCCTGGGGTGGGAGGGGAAGAAAAAAAAAAAAAAGACCCAAGCTTTCACAGTGGCCGCTTTCCAAAAAGTCCTTTAACATCCCCAGCTGGGCTCCCCCTCCAAGGATTTTGTTTGTCCACTCTTCTCTGCTGAAGATGGGAGCTGACCGGCCACCTCCACCGGCGATTTTGCTTTGCGCCAGCCCGTGACACAGGCGGCAGGGGCTCTGGCTGGGCAAAGGAGCTGCTTCGGTAAAGCTAACCGCTTCTGTTCGTGCATGTGTGTGTATTATATTATATATTACCCACTTGGGTAAGACTTCTCCCATTATAAATCTGCAGGTTGCTTCATCGCTAGCACTGATTTTTAAAATTAAAGGCTTCCACTAGCGGTTCAAGCCTTAGACACATGGCAAACCTTCCCCCCGACCCCGCAGCAACCTATTTTCCTACCGTGTCACCTGCTCCCCATACCGGGCTGCGGCAGTTCTTCAGACAACCTGGGATATGGATTCGCTGACAAGAAACGCTGAACTCTGTTGAATGACCCCTGCTAAGCTCCCGACCAAATTCAAGCTGTGCACTACATCAAAGTCCAAAACTTCACTTAAAAAGAAAATGAAAAAAAGAGGTTAAAAAAAAGAACTTCAGCAGAGAATGAGGTTTGGGTTTTTTTGTTTTGCTTTGTTTTGTTTTCCTTCTTTCTGTAGTGGGAGGGGGCATGAGGCAAGAGTTCTGGTTCTGAAGTACACAACAGCAAACTTCCAACATGAAGAGATTGTCGAGGGGAGAGACATTGGTGTGTTGTATTGCTCTGCTTTCCCTCCTCCCCCCCACCTAGTCCCCTGCCCCGGACACCCTGCAGAGTGAGAATACAATGAAACTGGTTTGTATTTATAGATATTTTACAAGGTTAAATAAGAACAACAATAATAATAATAAAAAATTGAACACTAAAATGAACAGGTTGGTTGGTTTGTTGGTTGTTTTTTTTTTCCTCTTTTTAATTTTCTTTCCAAATGTGACCAGTGTTGCTGAGCAAGACTCAAATTACTGGTGATTTTTCCCGTGTAGCTGGCTGCTTGGTACCGGTTCAGGTGGAGTTGGAGGCTGATGCTGTAGCTACACTATTGGTCTGAACTCGTTCTCCTGCGTTAACATCTGCAAACGACAGGTGAGAGGAAGGAAAGAGAAAAACAACCAGTATTACCTCCAAAATACAGACACCTTTGGAACAACAGTTACGACACTATCTGCACAGGGAAACCCCCAACTCCCACCGAGGTGCTGTTTGGTTAGTATGCTCTCCTGACTTCAGGGGGTGCAGATACAACAGTTCGGTCCAGGAAGAGGGTGGGAAGATGGTCTTCGAGCAGGACAAAGGCACCTTCAAGGGCTGAGGGTGGCAGGCTGGCACATGAAAACCCAGCTGGGCTCTAGCAGATTTTGCAGGATGTAACATTGCTCATGCAGCAGTAACTCCCCCATGGCACATTCCAGTACCTCTAACTGAAGACAAAGCACCGTAGCACTGCCAAAGCTAACCTATCAAGCATCCACGGCCACTACAAGGTTTCACATTGGTGCTGAAGCTTCATATTGTTAGGCCTTCTTGTAACAAAAGTGTCTGTTAATTGTGTGAATGAGCGCAGACAATGAATGCGACAAGCCTGCTTCCCTGGCAGTAACAGCTTGTGTGTTAATGTGTAATTCCTGCACTTGTTGCCTCAAAAAAACGTCTTTCAAGTCTGCTGCTTTATTCTGTGTTGCTCAACCAAAGTTGGATCTGCCACCCTCTGAACTGCTGGAGCAGATTAACATCAAGGCCTGAAGCCAGTAACGAGGTTTACGCAAGCATACGACACTGTTAAAGGATCAGGTCTCTGCAGTAAACAGTCTCCAACACCTTTCTCTTCTCCATGAGAAGAGTGCTTCACAGAGAGGGAAGTCACAGGATTACGGGCACACATCAAAGTACATTCCAAGAAAACACAGGTTTTGCAAAGAAATACCAAAAGGAAATTAACCGCAACTGTGTTTTCATAGGCCACATACATCAGGTATTTTCTCTAAAAAAACCTGTTCTTAGTATTAGAGGAATTGGTAGGGAAAAAAAACGTACCAACTTCATCTGGAACCATCCTACGCAGTATCTAATTAGCACAGTCACAAAAAGGAAAGCGGATGAATGGCTAAACACAACAAATACAGGATTGGAAAAATTTACTATGGGAGGTTTTCTACAAGAGACCATCGTTCATTTCTCCCACTGAATCTAAGTAAGGTTAACTGCAAAGCTATCAATACTGCAACAGGAAAAAAAAATGAAAAACTTATTATGTCAGTACAGAAGAGGGCAGGCTGGGCAAACAGTGCCTTCGAAAGACATGGGGAAAAAGGCTTATAAAAAGAAAGAATAGATTTACTGACCTCAGACTGAAGGGCAGTATGACTAGCATAAATAATAGACATGACGAAATACAGCCGGTGGGGGTGCAGTAACCTTCTCCAGCACAGAAGAGCTTGGGAGGCAATGCAGCTGGGCAATGCTCTACAGTCACCTGTTAACACAACCCCCCCTCCTCTCCTGCCACATTGACCTGATCATAGTTGCCAGTTCAGCCACATACAAAGGCAACAAAATGAATGAGAGTCTAGAGATGGGCAGAACTCGCTGAGTGACAGATTAACGTACACAGCCACTGGCAACAAAAATAGGAAATCAAACAAACAGCAGCATCCAGGAATACAAGGGACAAATGGGAAGAGAGGATGATGCCTATTTGGAAAGAAAATGCTGTGAGCAGCATGTGGGCAGAAAGGAAAATCCTCCTGTGGGCACAGGATGCCAGATCACTGCTCTGCAAGTTTCCCATTCCTTTCCTCTCACCCCAAATTAATTGCAACCCCTCCCTCATGAAGGAGTGACCACCGTGGTGGAAAAAAAAAAAGTTTGTGCAGTTAAAAGTACCAAGGCAGGAGGACAACCGTACCAATGTTATTTGTAAAGCTAGCCTTGCAGGTGAGAGATGCCCTTCTATGTGGAGAATTACCCTGAAGGAGCAATTCCCAAATCCCACATGCACGCAGACCAACAATGACCATGGAAATCAAAAATGACCCAGCCACACAAGTAATAGTTTCCACACTTTAAAATGTCACAGTGCCTGTTCTAGACTAATTTTCAGGTATGGATAAACTTAAGTTAATGCAACATCTGCCGTGCCTGATGCAAGCTGTCCAGCTGGATTCTGTATTGCTGGCAAAGGATTTCTCCGTGTATGTGTACAAAAAGTGCTTGTATTTCATTTGCTGAGATGAAATGTGCCTTTTGATCTCCTATTCCTGAAGACAGCAGAGGCTGAAATTGTTATCATTATATTGCTACTAAGCAGAGATAAAGAAAAAAGAGGAGAGGATGGAGCTACTTCACATAACATGTAACATATGCTCCTTTTCTATCATCACTCTAATGGGGGAGTTCCTGAGAAATATATACACCACATGTTAAAAAGGAAATAAAACATGTGACGCAGACCAGGACCATTTACACAGGGCTTTTCACAACAATATATAGAAGTCCACCCAGGCTGGGACAGAGTGCAGAGCCTGCTTAAGGCTGTACTGGCTGCAAAGCTGCAAGAAAATGCAGTATTTTGATATTCCTGCTTGTTCTTTGACCCTGCATCGGCAGGACATTTGGGCAACAAAGAGGGGCTTGTTCCAGCATCTCTTTGCTGAAGCGTCAGAAAAAAAGCACAACTGGAGGATGAGGGCCTCTAGACATTCACTTACTCCTCCTCACCATGAGAAATCAGTATTTGGGCATAAGAGAAGAAAATCTAGGTGTTCCGCAATGTTGCTACACATCTGCTTTGCAAAGAAGCGGCCCCTGCCACTTTGGAAGCCCTGCTGGGGAGTGAAGCTAGGAGCTGACATGAGGCTTTCTTATACGGGGCAGGTATGTGGCTTGAGGTCAGGGCAGCCTCTTTGCCCGAACTACCCACCTGATACCTCTCTGCCTGTGTGGGCAAAGAAACTACATTAGGGCTGAAGCATCAGCCACTTCCAAAACTTTTTCCAAACAGAGGGCAAAAGTATCTCTCATCAATGTAGAGCACCTCCTCCAATTCAGCTTTTCCCTCTGAAGAATGCCTCAGCTTTCTTGGAGGGCACGTGACACTCCTTAGAAATCTCCCGGAAAGGAAAGGCAGGGCTACAGTTCAGAGAAAGACAGATGCCAACTCAGTCTGAAAAAGCCCATTAGCACTAATGACAGCATTAGTTGGTTGTATTTGTAATGTTGACAGACTCTGCTGCTCATCCGCAAAGATACCAAAACAAAACTACCACCAGCCTGGAAGCCCTCACAGGACAGCTGAGGAGACAAGTGGAAGGAAGAGAAAAGCCTGGTTTTCCTCTTGTGCCTGCCTATGGATGTAGAAATCCTGGGCTCAGAGCAAAACTGACAAGCCTGAAATGTGCAAGTTTTACTCCTCTGTCACAGACTTATCCCTGTGCTAAGCTTGCAGAAGCCTCAGCAAATTGCTTGCCCCTCTTCTCCTGGTTAAGGGATTAAAGTTTTCCAAAATTCCTTCACTGGGAATACCATAAATGCAGTAAATCTTATTTTACAGAGTACTGGGGTCTTTTTCAACTGCCACATGTTGGCAGGTAACATCAGCTCTAATCTGTTTTGTTGTTGAAAGTTCAAGCACACCATCGCTTCTGGGATTACAGGGGATCAACACAGCAGGATGCCCAAGACAACGACCCCAGCATCCCTGCTGGCACAACTCCCCTGCAGATGGCAATTATGCTCTTCCCTTCTTAATGCTGACTAACAGAGAGGTAACTACTGCTGCTGGCTGGCTGACGCAGGAAGAAAAACATGCAGTCACACAAGCAGATATGCTTTCAGCTTGGTGTGCATGCTTCCCTCTCAGATGCTGTGGCTGCATGGCTATGAAACCATCATCCTCCTCCTCTAGCTAAATCAAGTCAGCATCCACATGAATAAAGCTGCACTGGCATTTTTAATCAATGGCCAGCATAATTCACAGAAAGCTAGCGTACCATTCCAAGCAGGGCAAACAACTCCCATCTTCCTTTTCCTCCATTTTACTTTAGACATGCCACTAATGTCACTGAGAATTTCTCATAAATGTTTAAGTGCATTTACTAACGCCAATGCAGGAAGGCTTCGTGCTCCCACTGCAAAGCCAGATTCCATTAGGACAGTGAGTCCAGCTTTATGCCTCAAGGGAAGAGGAAATTTACAACAAATACATTATTTTAACACTGAAAAGTTACCTGCAATAATTCCTCTGCATTTAAGATCATTATTTCAGGATTACTGTTGCATTGGGCTGTTGAAATCATGACTGTGAATTTATCAGTTAATAAAAATTACTCATTTTCAATAACTGTTAAAAATGCAGACGTGTGTCACATTGGTTAGCACAAAGGGCTAGTATTGCTGGCTTGAAGAAACCTGCACTGTTAATGCGATGTTGAAAAGCCAATCTTTCCATCTCTTAATGCCACGCCACTGCTAAGTCTTCTGGCAAACGCTATTTTGCTAAACTTTGGACAAATAGATGTCATTTTTCTATTTATTCTCTAACTATGACCCTGCCTTGGTGCATGATAAGCAGCAGTGCTTTACACCTCATCAAAAAGCTGATATTCTGACATGGCTGCATACCAACATGACAGCTATGAAAACGGAGTAACTGTCTGCAAGTAGCTAAGAAGAGCCCATCCGGATTATCTACAGTGATGAACTAGTATGCTGCATTTCCTTGTATGTGCACCTATGCCTCAAGCTTACAGAGTAGGTAACTATGCTGGATGTAACAGCACACCCTTGAACTTCTGTATCAATTCTGCTTCCTAGAGGGAGACAAGAGTTACACACTAATAATGCGGATTACAGTTACACATAACTTGCTTTGCCCTTTGAATTGCCTTGAAAACTACATTTTGTAGCACCACCACCACTCAAAAAAGTAGGTTCTGGACTTGTACTGCCGAGTCACACAAGCAAACATTTTGCAGAAAAGCCTCCTGCCTTATCAGGCTGCCCTGGCTTAAATGTGAGAGTTGCTCTCATGCTGCTTTAGCAGTCACTCAAGAACATTAAATTTCCTGCTCCGAGATGTGCAGGTGGGATACAGAAAGAATGGACCCGTCCTATGAAAATCTCTTGTTAAGTGTAGCACGAGCATACAAAGCACAACAGATTAACATAACCTCATACAGGACCTAATCCTAAAAACCACAACTCTGCACTGCCTATTCTGAGAAGCTCATGTGAGTAAAACTACAAACCAGCTGTCCTGCAGAAACCCAGAGATGCGTGTTGCCCAATACTGAACTTAATTTCACAATTTCTTTCCAAGCTGCAGGGATTTTTTGTTTGTTTGTTTTTGAACTATGAATAAGAGGCCCTATCCCAACTCAGTACAGTGCTTGCAAACGGGAAGTTTAAAAATCTTGACATTAGTAAGGTGGGGTTGGTTTTGGTTTTCCTTTCAGTATACTTCACATTTAGGACTCAGCCTAACGTGTTTTCTCTGCATGACCTCTTGGAAAGTGCTGGGTGAAAGCAGACTTTTTAACTCCATTAATTCCTCACAACTTGTATGTTGTCAAAGAGGACTCAAAAGGCATGAAAGGGACAAAGTGAAACAGTATTTTTCAGAAGGGCTTAAAATAATTTTCCATGTTTGTATTTTGTAGTTTTTCAATCACTTTTACTACTTTATCTGCTTTTTTCCTCACTTGTTGAGCAACAGATGCACATAAAAGGGAAACAGACAACATGACTATTTGCAAAATACTGCCAAGTGTATGAAACAAACATACTAAATCTGAAAATAGCAACTTTACTTTCTCCTAAATTCAGAGCACGTAAACTGTACAGGCTGTAGCTTTTATCTACTGCTACTACATTTTCAGAGGGAAGCCTCTTTCAAACCTGGGTGCATTTGTCTGTCCTGGAGTATGAAAATGCTTTCTATACAGCACTGGCTGAACCAAGTGTATCAGGTATCAGGTAACTGTCCTGTACATCAACCTGCAAACGCTTTCCTGCATGTTTTAAGAATACCTTTTTAATTAGGGCTTCTCTTTATCAGCTATCTTACACTGAGTAGGCACCCTGCACTGCAAGAGGGGGTCACTGCCCTTGTCAAATGGGACTGGTGTGCACGCAGCATACGTCTGTAAGCACACCCATTTTGCAGCCTGCCTTTGGTTGCCCAAGCCCTGAGACAGCCGGCAGCTGTGCTGACTCAGGGCTGACTCAGAGGAAGAGTGCCATGTACTGAATCACCTCTGCCACATCCTGCAGCACCTGGGGTTTTCTCTGGGAGTCTCCCAATTGATATTACCCAGCTTTTAAGCTTTCACTGGAAACAGAACACAATAGGGAGTGGCTACAGGCCAACAGTGAGCTTTTAAAAGGTTTCTGACAGAAACCTGAGAGGGGAAAAGAGAAATTCACTTAGTGCTGGCCAAAACCCAAAACCATCTGCCTCGTGCCCGAAGATGGCACAAGTGAACTCATTAAGAAACAACTGCAACTACTTAGATTAGGTAGGGAGCACACTGACTGAACTCCTCTAACCAGACTTTTAAGCACTATTGCCTTTGGGGAAAAATCCTCTTCATCCATGCTCCATGGAAGCCATGTGTACTGAAGCTAGCTGTTTCTTCTCTTCCTAGGCATCACAAACTCATGCTCCAAGTCAGTATTAATTTCAGGCTGAGAGCTCAGAAATTAGGTGCAAACCAATCCCCAAGGCTGAGCGAGAGGCACCAACACACTGAACAGTGGAGTCAAAGTGCCCTGGGTTAGGATTTAGGTTGGTGACCACAGCTAGCACCCAAATGACCACGTACCAAGAGCAAGTTTCAGGTGATGCTGGAATTAACCCTTCCTCCCTGTTCACCCCAAGGACTGAGGTGGCTCATGGACCACAGCAGAGGGAAGGTGCCTGGGCAGGGGGAGCGAGGGTGGGGAGGAGGCAGGCAGGCAGACGTTCTCACCTGAGGCCGCTGCAGCATTTGTAGGGGTTGAAGCAGCTGCTTGGTTCCGGGCATGAGCAGGGATGAGGATCGAAGCCAGAGATGGGTTACTTGACAGTTCTGGAGGGGAGGTGGAACAAACAGAGTTAGCTTATCGTCCATGAAGAGCCCCACATGCAGGCTCAGCTCCTCAAGTTTACCCCCCATAACAGCAACCTTGGGTGAAATGCATGCCCTTACAGCCAAAGGTCACGCTACATTTCTTCTTTGCCAACCAGTGAGAGGAAAACACAGCCATATTTGGCAAGGCAGTCTCCAGAGCAAGACTGTCAAAACTACTGGTAGTGGTGCAAAGGAATTATTTCCTAGAGAAAGACAGTGGCTTGGGAGTTAGCAAAGCAGCAGCCAAGCCTGTTCCTTATCAACAGCATGACAACAGTTTCCTTCTGAGCACTGGAAGGATTCCCATCACAAACCCATTTGCAATCAGTCTCAGGGAGAAGGCTGATAACAGTGGTGCTGCTTTGGGCACTGGTTCAGCAAGCAAGCAGCTGACACAGTTGCTCCAAGAGCTTCAGGGATTCAGTTCTTTGCTCACTCAAGCACCACTTTCTCAAGGACCTAGGAACCCAAGACCAATCTCTCACAGCAGTCTCCTTGAGTAAGGTCAAGAAGAGATGACATCTCCCTTAAAAGCACAGGGAGAGGCAAAGGGAATTGGTCTGATGGGCAATTTAAATGAACAACAAAATGATGCAACCATTCTTTCTGAAGACATTAACCAAGGAAAAAATACGCATGTCTTTTACACTCTAATATAGTTGCAGTGTGTATCATAATGAGAAATAGGCATCTTACAGACACAACTGTGGGAGGATTAAGGGCAACACATTGCCAACAAATTACAATCTTCTGGCACCCTTTCAAGGGACTCTAGTACCTCACAGAAGGTGAGACTGAGCCGAGACAAGACAGGTCCTGTCTGTTTCAGAAACAGGAGTGACTGATTGTCTCGTAAGAAAGCAACATCCAGTGAAAAGGATGTGAACAGTCACCTTATGGAAGGAGACTGATGACTTTTGGAGCTCCAGGAGGTCATCTGGAGGAGAAACGAGAATGGACAGCTTTTTACATAAGACCTCCAGATAGCAAGGGTTGAACAGAAACCAGTCCAAATCATGCCATGGTCTCAGTAAAGTGGTTTTGTACACAGCCTTAAATTATTTCAGCTCGTTTTTATTGTTTGTTTTAACACAAGCGTTAAACTTTGGGCTTAAAAGGATCAGTGGTCTACTCGCCAATTTTTTTTCTCCATTAAGTTACATTGAGTTTCTTTCCTGCTGGGAAGGTAAGATGCAGAAGACTCGCACATGCTTACAAGACTCTTATTACTACACATTTTGAGACTGCCTTTCAGCACTTAGGAACACAGCTCCATCTAGAACCAAACAGAAGTTGCTACATTACCTGCAACCCATCCAACCTATCCTGCAATCCTCCATTCCGGTCTAAGCAGACCTAGCTGGTCCTTCTAGAAAGCCTCAATACTCATAGCAGTTGTACAAATACTAATCCTCAAATTCATGTGGGAATAATTCACAACTCATATATTCATAATTCAGAATTTATAAGTCTCAATTTTAAACAGAAAAATAAACTGAAGAAACATGAATCCTCAAGTGTTTCAAAGCTGAACACCAGTGACAAACCCATCCTTTAATACTATCTGGGATATCAGCTGCTCCATGCTAGAAAATGTTGCTCCTTTAGTATTTCTTCCAAAGCTGTTTCTCAAATCTGTTATTATTATCTGCTGTTTACCTCACTCTTTTGAAAGTTTCTATCATCCCCCCATTATTTTCTGCTTAAAGAACTTGCAGAGAGACCATAAGACTGATCTTGTCCCTCTTCTCAAACCCCACATTATCCTTCTTGGTATGAAGTTTCTTAAATTCAGCATGCTTTGAATGTCTTGATACTTCACTTAGAAGAGCCCATCAATTCAGACAAGAAATAAAGTAAATTGAACTCTTGGCTGAAGTTCAATAGCAGCTTTGCTTGAGAACTTGTCTGAATTTTTGTTTTACCATATTTTTGCAGCAGTCCCATCTGTAAGGATGAGAGATGTCAATAATGAGGAAAAAGCTTGACCTGTGGTATCTGCAGCCTACGAAGCATTGAGACCCTCTATTCTCAGTGATTTCCAACACAGTATTTGGACAAGCCATTGAACCATAGCCTGCCTATCTAAATCAAACTTGCAATTCAAGGTTGGGTTAACTACAACCAATAGTGCTGCAAGAAGGTATTGTGATCGCAGCCATCCAGACAAAGTCTTCAGTACTGTGATGCAAATAGAGGAGTTATCCCAGTTAATTTTTGAGAGCCTACTCCCATTCACATCAGCTGGGAGAACACGTTTGGCTTTCTTGCTCAAATTATGACATCTGCAGTCAGTTTACATCTCCAATAAGGTGCAGGAATGAAAGTGTCCAGTTTTACTAGAACACCAGACCATCTTCATTCCCTGAATACAGGAAAATGTTGGTGCTGGGAAACACTGCAGTGTTCTTTTCCAGTATTGTTATGTTTGATATACCAACACTCCCAGAATCCCCTGGAAAAGTTATTCTTATATGATGTTTGCTTTTTGACAATAACAAACTTTCATGTAACTTAAGTCATTCCAGCAGTTTCTCTGCAACCTAGACAGTGCTGGAAGCAGCACAAGTTTAATCATTTTCCTTTCTTCCCCCACCCACATACCCTGAGCAGAAATACTCTAAAAAAACCCTAGATGGCACTCAAATGGTCACACTGAGGATTTCATGTCACATTGAAACAGTTTGGTTAGAAATATCTATCTTTTTTAAAGGTCACGAGACAGGCTCATTGAAAAAAACAAAAAAACAACACAAAACAAAACCACAAAATCCACACACTTAAACAAAAAAGTAATTTGTCGTTGAAAAGCATGATAACCATTCCTAAGTGCCAAATCACAGAAGAATTTTACAGTCTTTATGGCCAACATAGAATGACAGGAACATTTGTGACCCTGCACAGTCACCAACATTTTACAAGAAGTTTTAGGAAATGGAAGTCATTTCACAGATTGTTTGAAAATTCATCTTCTAAGAGAAAAACTGCCTTCTGTGCTTTCTGTCTTGCAGGTCTAGCAGCCACTGAACTGCAGTTCCGTGGCTAGTGGAGATATCTCCTTGACTAAAAAAATTTTTTCAAACCCCATTTAGCGTATAACATTTGTTTAAATTCTAAGAGAATCTTACAGGCAAACCAATAAGAATTATCATGATTAAGATTAGACAGATTTCATCTCTATAATAAAGTAAGCACCCACATGCCCCACAACTACTGCTGGCAGCCAAAGACCATGATCTTTATCTTCCATATGCTTTCGCTGCTTTTTTTCTAGACTCTATTTGAGCAGCATCAGTGCCCAGATCAGCAGATTCAGTATGACGCTTAAGTCCTTTCTGAAAATCAATCCAACGCACTAGTGGTCAGATTTATATTGTTATTTCTAATAGTTTTGCCTTCAGTCCTTCTGCAGCTACCTCTTACTTCGTGGGTTTCAGGCAACTGGATATAGCCAAATCAAACACTCCTTCGAAAACTTAATATTGTCTGTTGAAAACAAATGTCATTCAAAACAAAAGGATATCTTTCATTACTTTTTAAATTACCACAGATGACAACATGAGTCATCACCTGATTTCCAATGACCTGATCGATTTCCCAGTGGGGATTTCTGCTCTGGACTAGCCAATCTGACAGGGCCTTGCACAGGCTGGCCAAAGAGCAAGGACTGCACAGTGGTCACAGTAGGAGCAAAAGCTTCTTGGGTATCTTGAGATCATAATCAGGATTGCTGCTACATGAGACTCACTGCTGCACATTTACGAATTACAAAGGTCTTAAAAATCACTACTCTAAACAATGTGTATATTTATTTTAAAAAACTCTGGTTATTTTTTTGAGCTTGGCTGGTCACCTGCAACAGAGCTTACTTCCAAACGTGTTAAAGACCAGCCTCTGTCATGCCTTCCCTTTTTAGATGGTAAAACTGGCACCTCCCAATGACAGAAACTTGCTTTTCTGAATCTTAAGGAAATCGCTCCACTGGACTTTATTTCTCTTGCCAGTCCCATGAGTCACTGTGCAAGGGGAGAGCACATCAGCTCCTTAAGACAGCAAAAGAGGAGCTTTAAATTTGTTTGAGCCTCAGGGTAGCTTACCCAGCAGTTTCCACACTATCTGGGGGAAAACCAGGGACACACCCTCAATATGTACATTTATTTTTCCCCTAAGGATTTTTAAGAAGACTCACTATAGAGCTTTCCAACCCTTTTTTAAAATCCTTGTTTTCATGTAGTAGATAGGCCCAATCTTAACATCACTAGGAAACAATTAATAAAAAATGCTTTCAAAAAGAACAGGGGTGAAGCTGTATTAAGATACTGGGATCAAAACTACCTTGGCTACTGAAAGTGGCCTTAGAGTGGGAAGAAAAGGCAATTCATGAGTACTGTAACAAGGAAGGACCTCTAACGTAACTACTAAATTCATAACAACACATGTAGAAACCAGCACAGAGGACAATGCGCTGGAAGCACAAGCTATTTTCTTGAATACTTTAATGTGTCGATGCTTTGGAAATGTTTCAGTATATTCAATATACTTACCTTCTGCAAGGCAACCACTCAAAGCAAGTTAAAAGTTTATTTCCAGGCAGCTTAAAATACTACTTTGTACAGACACAAAGCCTCGCCTCCTGCCTTTTTTTTTTTTTTTAAATAAAAGGGCTCCACGTGTTGAGGGAGAGGGCTCTGTTTCACATTTTGGCAGATGGGCACTAAAGAATATGAAATATGCACTAAAGAATTTGAAAAATTACATTGATGCTAACTGAGCCAAAAAGGTGTTTCAGACTTTAAACAGAAAATGCACAAACATCTTGCTCAAAGGGTGAGAAATGGCAGCTAATCACTTAAAAAAAGCAGCTCCAAAATTAATTACTAGCATATTTGTATGCCATACTTCTCACATTCTCTGTCTTGGCAGGCAAAACTGTTCTAGGGAGGATATCAGTTTTACATTTCTGACTTCTGTGGAAAAAAAAAGAATACATGAATGGTTTTAAAATTTGATACCAGTCTGGCTCCGAATAAGAAAGTTAGTTGTCCGTCATTTTTACAGTTTCCAAATGTCTGAGTCAATATAATGCCAGATGAACTGTACAGCACATAAAATCTGGACACTAAAGCCTCCGTATTTATGTCACATCCAGAACCAAAAGGAGCTGTAACACTACAAATGTCCCTGCCAAACCTAATATGCATTACTCCTTGCTATGGTGTTTCAAGTATGAAGGAGCAGGATCATCTCCAAAACAATAATCTAATCTCCACGGCCCACTGACTGTGATATTTCACACAAAACCATCAGCTAAGTTGCAGACATTGAACTGCAAACGTAAGCCTTCTTCACACAATCTAACAGTAACAACACTTGGTACCCTGCACAAAATTTGAATTGAATGCACCAGGCATCTGAAAATCCTGTAACCAGTTTCTCCAAGACCCTTTCCTCTCTTTTGAAATAGACAGCTGGTTATACAAGTGCTTAATAACCTTAGTTCTGCTCAGAGACCTTCACTTTTCAGGAAGCGACATCTGCATTACAATGAACATTTATTCCAGCGCTTCTTCCTAAAGAAGGGATCCTTCAAAGCTCACAGGCTACCTTGAGTGGTGAAATTGAAGAGTGCAGGTTTCTCTCGCCCATTTGGTAACTTGACATTTGGGTCCCGTAGTTCATCGAAGAAAGAGTGCGCACAGGCCTCCAGGGGAGTCAGGCGGGCAGTGGGGGTGTACTCCAACAGACGGCTACATAGCGCAATTGCTTCTGGTGGAGTGCGGGGCCGGAAGACCTAAAAAAAAAAAAAAAAAAAAGAGAAACAGGTTGTCTGGATATGTTTATCTTCTTTGCTGACCAGAAGCAAGTCAGAGCAATTAAACCTCTCATTGCCCAACAAGCTGGAACAAACTCGTCGTTTGCGCTAATCAAAGTCCTCCAGTAAGCATGGGAAAATCCAGTTCCTGGGGTTGAGAAAGGGTTAATTGCAATGTCTTGCACTAGAGTGAAGGTGCAATGCCAGCAAGAGACTTCATGAGAGCGCACTCAGAAAAACAACTTCAAGAATGAAGGGAAAACTCATTCAAAAATCATGACAAACACACACAAGTGCTACCAGCCATGCATATGGGATGGAGTGAAGGTGCAGAGGAGGGTTCAAATGAGCAGGATTCACTGAATGTAAAAATTGAATAAGGCCCCGCTACAGTTCTGGGTTGTATTTTTTTTGGTTTGGGGTTTCTGTTTGTTTGTTTGTTTGTTTTCTTTTTTTTTTTTGTCTAGTGAATGAAGTCTTACTAACATGGACTTTTGCAGGCAGGCAGGTCAGATTGTTGCTATGGAGGCTGCTGTTCAACTTTGGAGAACAACAAGGAAATCCTGGGTGGGGTGCAGGAAATGTCTAGCTCTAATTTACAAGTTACTGCTTCTGTGACCTTATTCTGGCAAGTCAATCCCATAAGTTTATTGGGATAACTCCTGCACATTTGGTATTTGTAAGGACAGCTGAAAATTGCGTCAAGAGAATCAACTATTTTACTCTAACAGATTTTTACCTGGAGTGATTACAAAAAGGAGTTCTTCACTGCAGCTTTGTTTTAAACCTCTAAGAGCTGTTCTAACCACCACTTAATCACACCCCCATCCTCCCTTCTCATTACATCAGAAGCAAAATATGAGCTAATCATGTACATGACCTGGATGGCCTCCTCAAGCACTTGTCTCGCTAGGTTGCAGGTGATACGCAGACTGGGGAAAAGGGAATGGGGAGGGTGCGAGCGTTAAGTTCTGATGCTAGCATTTTTGGTAAAAATTGAGCTAATCCAAAATGCTTTTGCACAAGCACAGGTGAACCCAAGCCACACAGCACCAATGAACAAAAAAATAAAAATAAAAAAAATCAGTGCATGACATGCTAACTAATCGCAGATGAGGAACTTGCACAGGCACTCCTTAAGTAGGTTTTAAACCAAAGACTTATATGCTCTCTTGAATGAGACTCAGATACAAATGCCAAGCTCTTTGGGGACTGAAATCGTATCCCCTTGGTGCCTAGCTGGCTCAGGAGCACCCAGGTTCGCTGCAGTGTGTGCACTAACTCGTGTGGCAGGGAATCCTGACTCAGGAAGTCGAAGAGCCAGGTACTGAAAGAGCAGAATTTATTTCTACTACCAGGCTATTACAAAACAAACCAAAGAAGTTTTCGCACGAGGCCTACGATGACAAAAATAAAGGCTTTAGCTCAACACCGCTGGCAGAGAACTTCTGCTGACCACCGTACTGTGAATATACAGTCACCCAGAGGGGCAGCAGAAGCTCCTAAGTGCCCGCTGCCTGCAGAGCTCGGCTTGCTGACCACAGTGCACACTGCATGCAGGTTATCGCTCCCAAGTCACAGCCTGACCAGAACAAAATATAAGATTACCTATAATTAATAACAACAAAAAAAAGCTCTTTTTTTTTAATCCCTTGGTAAGCAGCACAAATGAGTATGTCTTGAGGTAAATCCACAGAAGTGAAGCTGCTTGGTATTTAACACGAGGTAAAACTACTGACATCTCCCTTGTGCACCTTCGCACAGGATTGATTTACCACAGCTTGAAACTGAAGTACTTCACTCTTAGTTGTGTTTTCTCCTCAGGGCAACTCACATATCAGCTACTATACAGATTTGAAAAAGAAAAAAAATTTTTTTTTTTTCCTTAAGTTAAAGAAAACAAGCCTTTATCTTGAGCAAATCAGTGGGCAGACAGTCACAAATCAGCTATCTTTAAAAGGAGTGCTCTTATTGAAATTTCTTATCTGAAATGCTTCATTTTGAAGTCAGTGAAACCCTACAATCCATTTTCTAAACCCTACTGAGAACTGCTCAGCCTGCCTTTGGATCTGAAATTAGTTCTAGGGATAGGCAGTTCCCAGAGTCTTCTCTAACTGCTTCAGACCAGGTTGGGGGGGGGGGAAATCAGAAGGCCTCACACAGCCTCCCTCTGCAACAAGTGGTGACTAACGCATGAGGTGAGCTACAGGCCTGTGCCCATCTCATCTCTATCGCCTTGTGTCACAACATTTGCCTGGCTGCTGCCTCAAGGATGGGGTTCGAACTCAAATACTCCACTTGTAGTATTTCCCTCCTTTTTTTCAAGGCTAGGCCTAGTAATTTGAAAAAATGTTTAAGTACATACCCGTACTCCTGAGGTGAAATGTCCTGTTCCTGACGAGTCCTAAAGATGATAATGCAGTGAAATAATCCAAACAGGGGGAGTCAATCCAAAAGAGAATAGTCCAGCAAGGAAAAATATAGCCAATATTATAAGAAATCCATGGTGTGGGGGACATAGAAAATGTTTATACAATTAGAAACTTTAAACATCAGTCTCCATAGCAGCAAGTCTAACTTCACCACAGTGTATGCCAAAAAAATCGATTGTGCAATGGTGAGGCATAGTACAGAAACATTTCTATATTAAATTTATGTTCCAATGCCAGTGCATTTACTAAAAAAATAAAAAAAAATTGAAATCAAAACTCTAACTCGAACTAAAAGGGTAATTGAAATTCCCAAAGAATTTTCAGTCCTTGGTCCTGGATATAAATGTCCACAGACAATGGGGCCATATTAGTTCATCTCCAAAGGTGCATCCCACTTGTCAATTTGTCCCAGAGACACAATGTAAACTTTTGGGTGATTTTGGTTTTTTTAAAAAAAAAAAAAAAAACCCCAAACCCCTAGCAATTTATAATTTGTGCTGAAGAGAAAGTAAAAATCTGAGATCTGTACTTTGAATTTGGATGCTTTTAATTTTGTGTGAGCTATGAGTGCCTCAGGCCGCCGCGGATTATTCTCCATTTTGGATTGACTTCCCCTACCACTGGATTTTGTTTGCTGGCGTTATCTCTTTAGGATTCTTCAGGAACTGGACGTATCACCTCAGGAGTGCGGGTATGGTCAGAATTTCTCTCTATTGCGGGTTTATTCCCCCTCATACCTGTCGCACCCATTACTTAAGAAATTTTTTCCCCTCAATTTGTCCCCTCCCCACCTCCCTTTCGAGTAACACCCTAAGTAATAAAAGCGAAAACCCCTGCAGTCTTTTAGCTCTTCCCATTCAACACAGTTCCACCGGGAAAACTGCCCAATTCGCCCACTGAGAACTACACGAGTGGCTGCCGCCTGCGGCAACGGGTATGCCAGCACTTCCATGCCACAGGGTGCCAACACCAAGGCAATGCTGAGCCGGTGCCCCGTGGTGGGAAGGGGTGAGAGGACAGATGGACAGTGGGACTCATGAGCTGTGAAGCCCCTTGCATATAAGACTTTTTTTGGTCTCTGTAGTTCTCAGTGAGGGAATTGATTTAGTAAATAATCCGCGGATTATTTTTAGTCTGCGGACTAAAATTTAGTGCACGGACTAAAATCCGGCCCATCGGAGCAAAGTCTGTCTCGGTCTAAAATACATCTGGGTGAAAGCAAAAGAAAAAAAATTAAAGAAAGAAAAAAGGAGAAAGGAAAACTAAAGGAAAAAAAGCTAAGTGCACAAAGTGTTTGGGCGGACTAACATTTAGTATGCAGACTAAATATGGCCGGGCAAAAGGCACAGCAAGTCCACAAACAAAAAAACAAAAATAAAACACTGACAGGAACTTTTAAAGCAATCAAATACTACCCCACCGGCGCAGCAATTCATTTTTCTAAAATGAAACAAGACCTTGTGTAAGGCTATTTGTCCACAGGAGGGACCGAAGGCTCAAGTTTTCATTTTAAAAAATGAACCTGTTTTGGAGATAAACAAATGCAAAAAAAAAAGAAGAGGCTTTACATACAATATTTTTCAAGGAAAATTTGCACTTGCATAACTCAAAACCTCTTGTTTCTGCAAAGCAAATGAATTTCAGGCTGAAACCCAGGTCACTGTTTTTTTGTTGCTGTTTGTTTGTTTTAAAATTTTATTTTGGATGAGTTACAAAAATCTCTGAATGATCATGTCAAATGGAAATGCTGACTGATCCAAAGCCACAGCTTTTGGTACTTCCCCTCCCCCCCCTTCAGATCCCAATAAAGCTATACCTCACCAAAAAGCTGAGGGACCAGTGCAAGTTCTTTCTTTGTTCAGGCATGCTGGTGATGGTCAAATGCTGACAGACTGTAACAGCTAGACAGCAAGGCCAGACACACACCTCTCTCCTTCCTAAGTTATGCTGCTACCAATGTGGTTTTTTTTATGCCACTCCCCCTTCATTTTTCTGGAATAACTTCCTTCTTCAACATTTGAAAAACGATTGCCAGGCTAAAATGTCCCAGTGCACTATGTGGCTCTCATCCCCAAGCGACTTCAATTTAGATGAAGTCTTTGTGCACTAGCAGAGCGCTCACATTTTTATCTCAGTAATTCGGAATAGTTCCTACCAGTGTAGACGAGTTCACGGCCTTTCTGATTTTTTTTTTTTTTTTTTTGCACACATGGAAATTTGAAAGAAAGAGGATGGGAAGCACAGGATTCTCCCGTTTCACTTCACTCACATCAACACTCAGCTCTCAAATAAAACCACATGGGGCAAGAGCTAAGTATTGTTTTAACAGAATGGTTGCTCTGACTTTCAGTTCATTGACATTCTTCAAATGGACTTTCCATGCACAACACAGAGCTCCATCATCTTGGTCTAATTAAGCCCCAAAGCCAAAGCTTCACAATGTTACACCAAGGTGCTCTTCTAGCCAGCGTGTATTAAAAGACATTACTTCATGCCATCAACCACTGTGCGTTTTGCATGCAGATTGTGAACACCGCTTGCGTGCTG